CCGTTGCAGCAGATTCTTGTTTAATACATTTTCAAACAAAAAATATACCTCAAAAGCAGATATTCAATTGCATTACATTCCCTTATTTTCATTGAAACTGTTATTTGAACCACAAATAGGAAAGCAAGGGAAAAGACTATTCTCAAAACCTACATGATTTATAGGGCAAAACAAACTAATTTGGACACAACAAAAAATCCCAGACAATTAGGAATGATAGCCGCCATCGCTAGTTCAAAAGTGAAGAAATTTAGTAAGAAAAGCAAAATAGGATGTTGATTTTTTGGTCGGCAGAAATATTGATTTCATTACAATCTTCGAAACAATAGTCTCGTCAAAAGTACAAATGCCCAAACGTGAGGTTTCTGCTCTATTGTTTAACCCAGTTTTCGATGGGAGAAAAGCATTACAGCAGCAATTCGTCGAAGATGACGCACCAACAGATATCCTTTCGGACAAGCCAAAGCAAGAATTGCTGTAATTCACAATAATCAGAAAGACGATAGGTGCTCACACTGGAAAGCGACTTTTACCTAATCTCAAAAGGAAGAGTTCCTCCTACTGCCACCTATTACAAGAACTTTTTTCGGCATTGGTAACATCACAACTTCTCTTAATCAAAATTCCCACAATTTTATATGATTAAAGTGCAGAAAGTATGCTTTACAGCAATTTCCAGGGTAAGACAAAAGGCAAAAAAAAATTTACAAAACCAAGTTGTCATCAACTAAACAAAGTTCACATTTTTAATGTCGGGTGCTCCACCAATCTAAAAATGCTACCAAAAGTACTACAAATATCTTTGGTGTTATACTGAGAAATCCTCTTGCGTAATGACGGGTTCGGATCAGCTCCTTCAAGCGATACTCCCTTGAACAACCGGTTGTTTTTAAAATAAACAATCATTCTTATTAGGTGTAATGCCGCTGCCACAGCTACTGTGCCATAAAAACCATTTATATCGTCATTACCTACGAGATGTGGTTGTCGTTAAAGATTGAACTCGATCAAAATCACAATAATCAAATCCTTAGGTGCCGAAGATTAGAAATAGGCGTCAAGATAGTAAGAAAGTATTCTATGAGAATTCCGAAGCTTTGAAAGAAAATTTGGTCATAGAGCGGAAAGCCCAAGTAATTCTTTCTAATTACTGCTTGAGACTAGAGTTCGAGTTCTGTGGCTGGGTAACTGAGACAAATTGACAATCATATATATATA